GAGGCCTGGAAGTGAGTGCGCGAGGTGGTTATAAAAGACTTCTACCCCCCCAGGGACGAGGTATGCTAACTTTCGCGCTATCTGGTTATTCTTGCCTTTGAAGGATTCTAACTTGAACTTCGGAGCCCTTACGCTGGGTTCCCCCCGGAGCTTCTCTTCTCCTTCCGTTTCAGGTCCCTGTTACTCAGTTCAAAGGCAAGATCATCGACAGCTAAGACCGGCCAGATTGTGCTTCATCACCAACGGTAATCCCTTCTACCTCAGATTCTTTCACATTTTTCTCTCTCTTTCTCTCCCCCGATCTCTCTTCTTTCCCAAATCCAAGATTATTCCAATACGAATTTATTCCAACCGCCTCCATTATAAGGAGCATTGTCACTCGCTCCACCCCAAAGCCAAAGATGGACCATTGATGTCACAATCACAGATTCAGCTCTTACCGAGTCCAAGCTCCCAAGTTTCTTCTCTTTTTCTCTCAACAAATCGTAATCTCATTTTAGTTGGAGGTTTGGATTGAGAAATCGATCGAAAGTGAAATAGGAAAAGGAAGACAACAAGTTTATAGTCTCTCCATCATGTGCTCATAGAAACGCTCTGAAAGACGTAATCCCCCGTGTTTTTAGATAATTTAAGAAGAATGGCAGGAATAACTCTTTTACTGGATCTTTGGAGGAAGAACATTGCACTTTCAAGCCAAACCCTACATTCGTTTGGGTTATTCTGGTAACCTTTTGCTTCTAGATTTTTCTTCCGGTAACCTTTTCTTCTCATATTTCTACTATATGTTTCTCCCCTATTATCGCTCCGAATTTATCCCTATCTTTCATACAACTGTAATTTTGTGGCTTGATTGAGTATTAGGGCATTACTGTCTGACCTTTGCTTTTCCCTGATCAATCATTTTGTCGATTTCTTAATATATCATAGATTGCTACCTCTCACTCTCTGAGGTTAGAGCGTCTTCGTAAGCAGAAGAGTGGCTTGGGTTTGGAGGGGATAAGCAGAGAATCCCTTCTCATGGCGTTGGGCGAACTGGAATTTAGGAAAGCCTTTTGATATTAAGTTACATTGGCAAGTAAGTATATGCTTAGCCCTTACTAACCATCCCACTACTTTTTAGGGGGAGCAAAAAAAATCGAAAAATTGAACCGAAAATCGGTTAATTGAACTGGTCAAGTTGGTTTCAATTTGTTGTTTTCAAAAAATCGACAGTTTCGATTAACCATTAAAAAAACGACGGTTAACCGAACCGACATATATATATATATATATATATATAGTATTATATATATCAGAGAAGTACGGATACACTCGATGCAGAATTCTGAATTCCAACCCCCCTACTACTAGCCCTCTCCCCCCTATAAACCACATCCTGCCCATGAATTTGGCATCAATTCACGGTCAGGATATATAGATATAGTATTATATATATCAGAGAAGTACGGATACACTCGATGCAGAATTCTGAATTCCAGCCCCCCTACTACTAGCCCTCTCCCCCCTATAAACCACATCCTGCCCGTGAATTTTGCATCAATTCACGGTCAGGATGCATTCCCCCTATACTTTAGGGCTATAAAATTATGATCTGGTCTGATTGGTCATTCTCCCTATATATATATATATATATTATATATTATATTTTATTTTGTTTTTGAAAATCTAATAAATGCTGTTGACAGTGAATGAGACTATTCAGTTTGGCAATTTGCGAGTGTTCAGACTGTCGAATTGAGTCTAGTAGTTGCAGACTGGCAACCAGACTATAAGCCGAACAACCACTGTACTTAGTTTGGTCCTCTCTTTCTTTCCTTCTCTCTCTCAGACTCTCACTCTCTGTCTCTCTCACTATACTCAGTCTAGTCCTCTTCTCTTCCTGCTCTTTCAGGTGTTCAGCTAATCAATCCTCACTTCTCAGGCTTCAGCTAGGAATGACACTCCCTCCATCCCTCTTTGCCTTTTTCATTATCTTCCTTTTTCTCTCCCACTCAACATCAAGATCTAGCACATCGAGGGATCTAGTTCGTTCATCATGCATCCACGCCAGCTATCCCAACCTCTATCTCCGCACGCTCTCCTCTTACACTAGCTCCACCAAGACTGCCAATGACCTCACACGAGTGGTCATAACTATTAGTCTCTCCTGCGCTTGCCAAGCTCCATGGCAGGAGCAAGAGGCAGCAAGGCACACTGTGCGATTGTGTGGAGCAGCTGTCGAACTTAGTGGACGAGTTGCATGAGACGCTTGCAGAGCTCCGTCATCTCAAACGTGCGTCGTTCAAGACTCGTAATTCCTTTTCTTTTTTAATTTTGAGGGCATAAAAAAAAAAAAAAAACTGAACCACGGTTAATTGGTCCACCACCGGTTGTATCGGTTCGGTTTCGATTTGGTTAAATGTAAAAATCGAAAAAATCAGTTCGGTTCATAAAATCACCCAATCGAACCGTGAGCACACCTAGTGCTTTCAACCTTCACAATTTGCAAAAACAATCATCGTATTCAACCTTGAGTGTGCCATTCGGATCTTGTGACCAAGGGTTCAGTGAAGAGGAGATTGACAAGAGGATTGTTTCTTCTCAATTCTACCAAATGGCGCACCCAACTGTTCATCATCTTCAACCTTGAGATGAAGAGGAGAGCAGCAAGGCACGGACTACGTGGAAGAAGAAAGAGGAGGAGAGAACGAAGAGAAATCGGGGGGGGGGGGGGAGAGAGAGAAATATGAAAGAGGGGATTACTGCCACTCTTGTTCATGTATCGTGAGGTTGGGGAAGATGAACAACGCTTTTCTCCTAATTGTTTGAATAGTTATTACAAGGGTAGTATGGAGATTAAAAAAATATTGCAACGGCGTTTTTGAACAGAAGGTAACGGAAAGGGGTTTTTATTTCACGGTCATATAGTACAAGGGGGTCTTTGTTACAAAACAAATTATAGAGGCGTCTTTGTCACGTACCCATAGTAAAGGGGGTTTTTGTAATTTATCCTAATAATAAAGAGATTTTAGACAATTGTGAGAAAAGTTAATGTAATCTAAGACAATATATAAACAATAAAAATATATAATCAATTAGCTAAAGTACAAGGGTAATTTAAGAAATTTACCCTTTTGTTTTTAGCGGATCTGAACAGATTAGAATCGAATACTACTTCGAACCACACGTTGGATTTTGGATTACCTAATTTACCTCCATAACCCATTCGGGCCTCAACAGAGTTAACGGGATTTTAGAAAATTTTCCCGTCCGCGTCTCCAGAAGCTTCTCCCGGTTCCCTTCTTATATAAATCCTTAATTATCTTTCAATCATTTTTTTCTGATTTTCTCTCTGCAACGGAAGGAGTGAAGTGGATCAATTCTTTCGGTCTATTGGTTCCTACTTCCTACCTACCCTATGGTAAGTTTTCGATCTCGATGGTTTTGTGTTATTGTTACATGTTAGATAGGCAAAAATTTTGCTTCGAGTAAACTATGATTTTGTGTTGGTTTCTGGTTTCTACAATTTGTTTTTGAAGTGTTTTTGGTAAGAAATTATGGTTTTTATATTGCTATATTTCGTTTAGTTCTTTTGAAGCGTTTCTCATAAGTAAGAAAAGGGATTTTTATAGCCAATAAGTAAATTATGTTTTTTTATATTTTTATTCTGTTATTTGTTTCGTGTTTTTGATATCTATTCGTTAGGTAGGGTTGAAGGATCTTGATTTATCATTCTATGCTTTTAATGGGCGTTGGTTCTCCTGTTATCATGATTATGTTGGTATAGATGCGTTGCTTCTGTTTTTTAGATGAATATTTTATTTTTAATGGTTTAACAAATATGTTTGTAATAGTTTCTTAGATAATATATCATGTTGATGATTCGCGGATAGTAATGATATCTAATTTCTCAGTTTCAAAAAGAAAAAACATCTTTTACTCTTTCTTATTCCTCTTTGTGATGATCTGGGTTCTAAATGGATTTTGCTTCTAAATCTTTTTTATTTTGTGTGGGCGTTTCTTAAATGTGAATTAATAAATTAAAGTTCTGTATTGGGGGTTTTATACCCAGAACTGCAACTGCAAGGCATGTGCTTCCTTGCCCTGTTTACTGAGTTTGCCTGTTATTTATTTGCCCACTCACTTTCTTGTATTTTGTTACGAGTGTAATCTTTACTGATCTTATATCCTATTATTTCAGATGTCGTATTCCAGACGATCAAGGTGTGTCTACATTCCTGGGTTTATTTCTGAATGTTGATTTGTTGCCGGGAAATCTTATTCACCATGTTACGTCCTTCGTTTTTTTTTGTTTTCTAGGTATTCTCGCTCTCGTTCCCCATATAGGAGGGACAGTAGATCTGTCTCAAGGTCTCTGTCAAGATCAAGGTCCAGGAGCCGATCGAGGTAATGGGGCTGCTACCACCAATCTGTTGTTCTTCTATTTGGTCATTTGGTGTTGGCCATATACTGATGTTGCTGATTAATGTTATACCTTCTTGTTGTGCAATTGTTGACAGAAGTCATGATTCAAGTGAGGTGGAAAATCCTGGTAATAATCTATATGTCACAGGATTGTCCCCTCGGATAACAAAGAAAGAGCTTGAAAAGCATTTTACAAGTGAAGGAGGAACGGTATGCCTTGCAGTAGTAATAGTTGATACATAGTTAATATTTTTTTCCAGTTTTTTTTTTTTTTGGTAATACAAATCACCATATCCATGAGCTAAGTGCAAGGGTTATGCAGAGGAATAACTAAATTAGCTGCAGTTGGAGCTAGATGTTGTGTACATCTTAGGGCTTTGTTTTACAATCTATTATTGGATTGCTGAGTGTGGTTATACTTTTTGCTGGTGTTCTCATTTCTCTTATTATGTCTTCCATTCACTATGTAATTGGGGTTGTATGAGTGTGTTTTCTATGTAGTTGATATCATGGTTAGGTTCTAGTAGATACCAAATTTTTACCCTACTGGGCCTACTCATCAGACTATGTGACTCTTACAGGTGATAGATGTTCACCTCGTGGTTGATCCTTGGACAAGAGAGTCTCGTGGTTTTGGGTTTGTCACAATGTCAACTGTTGAAGAAGCTGATCGCTGCATCAAGTATCTGAATCGCTCAGTACTTGAAGGTCGGGTCATCACCGTGGAGAAGGTACAACATTACATTTTTTTATCTGGTAATTTGAGAGCTATTTTGTTGGATAATTGGGTTAATCTTCAAGTCAGAATCATTGTTAAGGTTTATTGGTAGTTTCATTTGTTACTTTGAGTTTTGAGAGATTTTGCTCTTTTTCCCCTGAAGTGTTTTTGGCAGCAGGGTAGCTGTGTGTAGCAGCTCTTCACCAAACTCCAAAAGACTTATCACAACCTTAACAATCAAATCAAACTCATCAAGCAAATACCAGACTATTTAAACAGAGGGTTGTATGCCCTGCATTCCTCTCTTTCTGAAGCAGTTCCGCATGTTCAAATTTAATTTATTGTTATTTGTTGCAATTTTTGTACCATCGTTTGTATGTTAACTTTTTGGGAAAATTTTAATGGCTTTTGGTTTTCATTGGCATCTGCATTGGCTTGGTTCTGAATTTCTAGTCTCACATTTTATATTCTCCAAATGCACAGGCAAAGAGAAGAAGAGGCCGAACACCAACCCCAGGACGGTATCTTGGAGTGAGAACCATCCGAGGTGAGGTGGTCTTACCCTTTTAAGTAGTTTCCCAAGTTCAATCCTTCGCTTCAATATCTTTACTTTTGCAATTTTATTATCATTTGCAGTGCATCGTCGATCTCCCAGTTATTCTCCGTATTATAGGAGTCGTTACAGTTCTCCGCGTTATTCCTCAGAAAGGGACAGAGATAGATCATACTCCCCTTATTACAGGCGGCACAGGTCCTACTCTCGATCTTTGTCCCCCTACAGCAAGTCACCAGTTCGCAGGCGACACCGTTCCTACTCCTCAGATGACTCTAGGTCATACTCACGACATGACCGATCAGTCTCACCTTACTACAGGAGACGCCACCGATCAGTCTCCCGAAGTGTTTCTCCAAGGCCGAGAAGGAGCTCAAGAAGAGGCTATACACGTAGTCCATCCCCCAGGCTGAGGAGAAGCTCGAGGAAGAGCTACTCTCGCAGTCCTTCGCCAAAAGCAAGGAGTTCAAGGAGGAGTTACTCCCGGAGTGTCTCCCCAAGATCAAGGAAGAGTTCGAGGAGGGGCCCCTCTGGTAGTCCTTCACCCAGGCGGCAGAGAGGCTACTCTCGAGAAAGTTATTCCTGTAGCAGGAGTGTGAGCTCGCGGTCAGCATCTAGGTCCCAATCTCCTGTATCAAGGACCCCTTCACCAGCCTCGCGGGACTGAAGTTAAAACTTCTTGCATTGAGTGCGTAAGTTTGATGTAGCTTTTTATTTATTTATTTGGTAAGAAAGTTTGATGTAGCTTAGGGGTCTTTTGGAGTTTGCTTAGCTAGTCCTACTGCTGTATATGCGTGAACATTTTTCTTACTCTTTTTTCAGATAAAAATATCAATTCGTGGTTTTGTTGGCATGTTTGTTTTTAATATTATAAAGATGCTATTTTTATTTTATTTTGTTTTGCCGGAAAGATCCAACTCTTTTTATTATTTCATCTGGTAGGGATCAACTGGTCCAATCCTATTCTTCATCTTCAGCCCCCTTCATCTTTTTCCAGGCACCATACATTCTCGGTTGTAGGGGGGGTGGGGGGGTATTCGGTTGGTAGGTGACTGATTTCGGATTGGTTTTATAATTTTTTTAACAAGAAATAACAAATTGACATTTCTTGGGTATTTTAGAATTAAAGTTATGGTTTGTGGATCGAGTGTTTTTTTTTTTCAAGAATATTAAAATGGTTACATTCTCCAATTTTAGATGATGGTTGTTTAACTTCCCCACTTTTTTTTTAATCTTTGAATAATAACGCTCAGTGGTCTTTTTGAGCTAAAACCCTGCGACACGTAGGTGTCTGGATTAAATGGTCTAGTTTCTATTTGGTTGGAGAGTGGTTTGTCTCAAAAGGGGTCTTTTGGAGAAACGTCAAATTGACCTTTCCTGCTTTAGGAGGTTAAGTAGTAGGTAAGACGGTGGTATTTTGTAACTTTCAACCCAAAATACTCGTGGTTGAAACTCGGAAGATGAGTATGTCATATACAACCTTAGTCTAGTCTTCGCAAGCAGTATTAGAAGGTTGATTTATCCAATGTTGGTCCTATCATTTGGGGTTTTGGGAGGGTTTAACTTTTGACATATTTACTTTTTAGGTCATTGTCTAAACCTATTCAGTATTTCTCATTTCTCTTGAATTTACCCGACTTCCCGAAACCTCAGAGAATCCTTGTGTTTATATATTCAGAAAAATTTGTACATCCATGCCCCTGTGAAAGGAGTTTGAATTGCAATTCTCTTCCCCTTTTACATGCTTTTATAAGCTAATTTAAGAGCTTCTCTCATTTTTCTGTTTACATACATGATTGATGAGAGGTCAAAAAACTGAGATAGATCCAAGGCTTCAGCCTGGTATATCTTATCACGCCAGTCGCAACTTGATTAAGGATGATTGATAACAGAAACTATATACGAAGCATCAGAAAAGATGGTTAGTTGTTTGACTTTGGCCTTCATGTGTTTTTCATACTGTAAGAGAGCTTTGCCATTCAGATTCAAAGGTATTTTGAGCTTGCGATGTGCAATCTGTATCTGCTATCACCCTGCAGTTTTGTTTAATTATCAAATAACTGGTAGTAGAACTATGTAGATGAGATATATACGAACCATCTATATAGAGGGTGTATTCCAGTGTGAGTATGTCTGTGAGGCAGTTGCTGTGTTTTTTTCCCCAAAGTGCTGGTTGTGGGATTTGATTCTGCATCAACGCTGGAAAACCAGCTAACTCACTAACGAGCCAGCCCTCGGTTGTTAGGCAGTTGCACACAACCTTGATCATTGCCGTAGGATCATTTGATAGAGCAAGAGCAAAGTTTCACACAACCTTGACTATTGCTATAGGATCCAGAGTAGCATTTTCATGCCATCTCTTGTTTCGAGCATTCCATATGAGTTAGAGCAATAACAATATTTTCTATGACCCGAATATGCTGATTTTGATGGTGAGCATAACATGTTTTGTTGCCATGCAAATATGATTTCATGGACCATCTTGGATTCAGAACCTTGATAATAAATACCCACATGAAGAGCAAAGCTGACAACCTTGGCAAAATGACATAAAAAATGATGAAACTTTCCTGAATGGAATCTTTAACTTCCACAGACTTCTATGGAGTATGAACCACTTGACCTGAAGAACTGGGTTGAGTGTAGTAAGAATTTGTAAGCACAGATTTAATAGTGTGAATGGGAGGGATTTACAGTGTTGCCATAGTAACTCATCTTGCTGAAATTTGTGCAAGAGCTTGTGTGTTCCATTCCCCACTTGGCAGCGTCATATCTCTTACAAGTAATGCTTTTGCCGTTGGATATCCTCCACAAGTATAAGGAACCCATGGTTCATCAATTAGAGACGCATGAATTCGATTTTTTTATTTGCTACAATAATTCCGTCTTCAATTGTTTGCTATGAAATAAAAAAAAATCAAATGAATCATTGTCTCAATTAAGGAATTTTTGTTATCAAGCTCCACTTTGGTGAACCATTGCACATGGCGTCAAAATCATGCTTGATATTTCAAAGACAAAGGATCCTTCCTCTCTCTCTCTCTCTCTCTCGTTACTGTGCGATAGGCGATTGCAAAACATTCATACGTTATTTTCTTTAAACATATACAGACAAACACATGGAGGGCCTTATTTGTATTCATTTAGGTTGTAAATTCAATCTTGACCAAGTTCGATCATGATTCAGAATCTCTTTGCTTGCTTGTAAAATGAAAGAAAACGAATGTTTTCTTGAATATTTCTATTTTATCAAAGTGAATTACTGAATTTGCACTTGGTTCAGTTTTGTAAGCATTGGGTAAGAATACGTTTTTTGTATTAAAAATGAAAGTAGATTTGTTTTTTTTTTCTGACATTTTTGTATTTAACACAAAAAAGGCAAATTTTTGCAATAAAAAAAGATAGATTTTAGTCTCGGAATTCATGTTTGTACCCATTACCATCAAATATGTTTGACAAGATTTGTTTTTGCACTTTTCCATACACAGCTGAAACAAAGATATCTCCCTAGGAAATTTAAGAGCCACGTTCAACAACCCTCACTATGAAGTTATCAAAAACAACAATCCTGACCATCAAGGTTGGCACAATAGTTGGGTTGTTCCATTGCGATCTGGGTGACAAGGGTTCAATCTTGGAAACATTCTCTCTATCTGTAGGGGTAAGACTATACATCTATCACTCCTCGGACATTATATTGGTGAGAGTCTCATGCACTAGGCTGCCCTTTTGGAAATTGGAAGCTGATTGTTTGAAGATTTGTAGTAACATAACCAAAGAGAAGAGAAAAAAAAAATCCAATTATGAAGACATTATCGTCATTTTACGTATCAGTTCTAGATGACTCGGCTTTTGATGATCATGGGCGATTCTGAGTCAAACTGCCCGAGTCAGCTCAATGGCGTGGAGAGTTGGGTCACTGCATATTGAGACAATGAAAGCTACTAGTAGAGTGTATTGAATGCTCTAATGGATCGATTTCTTGTTCACCACAGATCATTGTCAAAGAAAAAAGGTATCTTCACAAATGCAACAACTACATCTTCCAAAGCTAAATTGAGATTGCCCCTCTTGAACTTTTGATTGAGAAAGCAGGAGGCTACAGTAATGGTGGTACCTAATCTGTTCTACACAAGGTGCTCAATAATTGAAAGGGAAAAATTTTCTGACTGATAAGCTTCCAACTAAGGGCTCTTGAGGCTGGTAGAACATTTTAGCAGCAAGAGAGGTTTTCCAAAAAGGGGCCTGCTGGGCAGTTAACTCTGGAACAAAAGTTAAGATTTAAGAGGATTCTTGGCTGCATCAAATAGAATCATTTGGAGTAATGGGTCATAAACCAAATGCTCTAGGATTGATTTGGGTTAAAGACCTAATGGATGATAGTGGGAGAAATTGGAACACTAGGTTGATTGAGGAGAATTTTGGAGAGAGAATTGCTAAAAACATCCTAAGCTTAAATCTGGCTAGGGGTACTTGGGAAGACAAACTTAGGTGGACCTATCACCCAAGGGGTCTTTGTACTGTAAAATCTGGTTACTATGCCTTAATTTCAATCTGCAGCAGTCCAATAAATGTGGGTGTAAATACTGGAAATGAGGGGGGTTTGGAAAAAAACCAATGGACCAAAATCTGGAAAGCAAGAATTGACCCAAAGATAAAAAAATTCATCTGGACATGCTCCCAAAATGCCATACCTGTCAAAGAAAACCTCTACAAAAGAAAACTCTCTAATGATAGTAAATGTCCTATCTGCCTTCAGCATTCTGAAACTATTTTACACTATCTATTTGAATGTTGTCATGCTTAAGCAACTTGGTTTGTATGTCATATTAACTATGTGGTCTCTAGGGGCAAAGTTTTTTCTTCTTTTAAACATTGGTTGTCTATTTGATTGGATATTTGCTTGAAAGTCAGTGAAAGAAAGGATGCGTTAATTTCTTTCTCTTTCTTGCTGCTGTGGAATATTTGGAAATCTAGGAATATTAAAGTATTTGAAAATTTTGATCCAATTCCTAGGGTCACTCTTGCTGTAACTTACAGGATGTGGAGAGAGAGAGAGAGAGAGAGATGACTTCCCAAGTAGAATCGTGAGATTCTTCTCCTCATCATCAAAACCTTAGTCAGCTGCAAACCATTTTTTAGGAAGCACCAGAATTAGGCCATTTAAAGCTGAATGTAGATGGGAGTTTTTTGTGTCCAGGTAGCTCAAGATTTGGAGCAATGCTAAGGAATTCTGATGGGACTGTGATAGTAGCAATTTTTGGTAAATCCTCAGCCTCATCTCCTATCCAAGCAGAAGCGGTGGCAATTCTCAATAGCCTAGAAGTTTTGAGTATGTTCAAGGATGAAGCCCTTTTAGTGGAATCTAATTGTTTGGCTCTGGTGCAGACTTTAAATAGAAGAAATTTTGATTTTGCTTTGGATACAAATTTCTTGTGCATGGACATCAGCCTGCTTACTGAAGATCTGTCGATTTCTTTTGTACATGTAAATAGGACTTGTAACAATGTTGCACATGTGCTGGCCAAAAAAGGTTTAAAAGAGTCTGGGTTGTTTGTCCATGATCCACCCGGGTGGATCCAAATTATGGCCAACCAAGACTTAATTAGACCTTAATTTGTGGTGCTTTTTCTTCTCCTTTGCTATCTAATATATATCTCATATTGCTTTTTTTATCAAAAAAAAAAAAATCTTAGGCCCCGTTTGCGTTTCTAGAAGTTAATTATCCAGGTAGTGCATTTATTCGCGTTCTTTTATTTTTCTATTAAATAAGACAATAACCATTTTAGCTATAGAAAACCATTATTAAAAGGGACAATTTTGTCCCATTCAAGTGTTGGCAACTCCCCCTCCCCAGGTGGGAAAG